TTGTGTCGAGTGGACGTTTAGCAAGCAAATTATTGAAATAAAAATGAACCGTTTGTTAGTCCCGAAATGACCTAGTCTCTCTCTCTCTCTCTCTCTCTCTCTCTCTCTCCAATGGTGTTCAGCTTTTAGTCTAGAAATATGTAGCCGTAGAAGTAGGATATAGGAGGCAGACCACCATTAATTTTCCCCACTGACTTCAATGTTAATTCTGGTCTCTTTGCCCACCTCCAAATTTTCGTGGGGCTGAATGCTTTTCACTACAGACAGAGGAACAAATGGTCATGTCTTTGCACTAAAAGTTGTATGAGTTTGACCTACAAAATTTTGAGATACACAAACTTGAAGAAGCATACTATAAACATGAAACTAGCTGCCGTACATATCGCCGTAGCCAACCTGATAACCCTGTTATCCTTCCGCCTCAAAATCATGAATTTTTACCAAACCCTGGCAGAAAATGTTAATTCAAACCCTCTTCGTCCTTTCTAGACCAAAAAATCAACAAAAATGGGCATGCAAAAGGGGAGAAGAGAGAGAGAAAGAGAGAGAGAGAGAGAGAGAGAGAGGGAGAGAGAGAATTGCTATAAATAGACGAACCGAGATGTGAAATTTAATGGTGGTCTGCCTCCATATAAAGAACTGTATTACCTCCCTTTAATCGTCTTCCCGTTCATTACCACAAACAGTTTTACATCATAACAGGAGCTAAGTGAGAGGGACACAATAATGCGCTTTGCGTCATGGTTTTGAGTTTTGGCGTCCCCTTGAGTTTTTTCGCTCCCTCGCAAATGCGATTTTCAACATTATAATCATAATCATAATGCTGTGGATCAGATATGATACAAATCATATTCCTCGCAGTGTTTCGATGGATTATACCTAATCCCAATTAACACTGCAGTAAAAGAAGCAAAGTTCGGTTCCAAATTATGACTGGTCAATAGTCCGATTAACAACCAATAGCTAACTACGTAACAATGTCACAGTGCTTTAAACAGAACTCCAAATTGGATCAAATATTATGTTTACATATGCCCATTTAACCAGTACATAGCAGAATATTGCAGAAAAACTAATTGCGTGACAAACGAGGCTATCAACACAGATACAATGTAAACAATACTGTTTGAAGACGAACAATACTTTCACCGTCTTTGATACCTTAAATCACTGTCCAAAGTTTTAGGGAAGGTCCCAGATTAAACGAAGGGCTGTCTTGTTGCTGTACTTGGAATAGATTTGATTGAACGAGAAGAATAGACACACTCCCTCAAAAGCTCAAGTATCAGAAGTCAATCCAGCAATGGTCAGAGAGGGATTTCTCGGGCCATTGCTTCAGGAATATGGCTACAATTAATCGACTTTAGCATGTTCCACACAGCCCAATATTACTCGGCGGTACTGTTAGAGACCCTCCCCCTTCCTCGGACACACATATATTGCTTTTTGAGGGCTCGGACTGGATCTTGTTCCTCATGTAAAATCATGGGTCACCACTCCCCTGCATTATAATGGTAATACTATTTGAACATCCGGAATAATCTCTATTAAATATTGACAACGGTCCCAGATCCTCCGTTCGTTGAAGACTTAGGAGGCTCTGGGTGACCGAGACTACATCCGCAATAGCACTGCCGAATGACGGTCTCAGACTAGCAATTATTTGCCCATTCACTTCAATGTGAAATGGCTGTAACATTACAGGCTGTAGCTTTTTGCTCAACATTCCGTTGGTTCCAATCTCTATAGGCACAATGGGGACCACATTTGGCAATCTACTCATCATAATTTTGTAGGGGGTTGACTGTTTAGATTTTTTGTTACGGGGATTTGATGTTGACTGGGGTCAAATTATCTGTTTTACCCAAAACTGCTATGAAATTGCAAATTTGAACCCTTTTTTCCAATTCTAAACCAAAAAGTCATCCCAAAAATGCAGGAAGAGGGGAGATAAAAAATTAAGGGAAAAATTGTGTATTTATAACTCGCATGAAATAAGGGGAAATAATTACTAGTCTTAGTTCTGACTGAAATAGGAGTTAACGTTCTAATTGTCTGCATTTACCGGGACAATTAAGAAGGACATACGCCAATACAGCGTGGTGTGATATGAGGGTAATTTTGCCCGTACAGCAATTACATTCCAACTGTCAATGGTTCTGTTAGGTTCAAGCAAACGGGGGCACCTGTTTTTGGTACCATTTGAACGACTAGACCCTGTCCTTGCAAGGCCCTCCGTCCTACATCATTAACAAGCGGAACGACGCCGGAAAATCCCGAGGAACTTTCTCGGCCTATACCTTGATCGAGCCCGGGACATTCATGTTAGTGAACTAGCGCCTCACTCAGCGAGCGTGCCACGAAGGTTCAGGAAGAAAGACGTTGAGTCGCTAACATGAAGGTCCAGTGTCTGATCCCTGAGGGGTTTTCGGACGAGGTTCCCACTTTTGCCCCGTCCCCGACCCACCCCACCCCGCCCCGCCCCGCCCCGCAACATCCCCATCCATACCGCCAACCGATAGTTATATATAAGTTCGACCAAACGTGTTGCCTTATCGTCAAAGATATAATGATAAATTTCAACTTTACTAGAGAGAGAGAGAGAGAGAGAGAGAGAGAGAGAAATGGGGTTTAACGTCCACTCGACACAAACTAGGTCATTTCGGGACTAACATATGGTTTAATTTTTTATTTCAATAATTCGCTTGCGCGTAGGGGTCTTTAGCAATGGGAGGAAACCGGAGGACCCGGAGAAAACCCACGAGGTTGGACAGGCGACCCTACTCCTTGTCACGTACAACCGGGGATTCGAAACCACGCCAGTTGACTCACTGACAGACCTTATGATACAGCGCGCACGTGCTAACCATTCGGCCATTCAACCTCCCTTCAACTTTACTAGTCAGGAGGTCGGTGATAATTGTATATTTTTGCGCACTGGAACTGAAGTTACATAAAAACGCAATATTGTCTACGCAGCCAGCTTTATCGTTACAACGGAAACAAACTTATAATTATTTCATTATGAATTGTCATACAGACCTTAGGCGACACGTACTACGCACTAGCCTTGAAATACATCGACTTGAACATACCTCATTCCCGCGGCATTAAATTGAAGTTCAGAGAGTGTACTACTACCCGTTGGGCTATTGAGAATAAATTACGCCCAGGGATGTATTCCAAACCAAATGATAATCACGCAAAACGTGGAAATACGCCAATACAGCGAAATTGTCTTTTAAAAAAGTAGCTTACCCGAAAGGGAAACTTGGATGTCGACAAAATTTTATATTTCGTCAAAGGGGGATAACGCTTGAACTGAAAATCGCAGAATGCTAATAGGGCCAAATCTGTTTGTTAAGGCCAGCTCAATGTAAATAAGATTAGGGTACGTGATTTTTGGCAAGATTGTAGGTTAGGGTAAGAATTAGGGTTATGTCCAGGGTTAGGGTTTGGATTAGCTCTAGCCTTGTTTACTTCTCGTGACTTTTGACCAACTTGAAGTTGGCCTTATCAATTAGACTATAACCATACCGATAGGGTTCGCCCTCTCATCGCCATAGTGTTTTGCACCAAATTTGAAAACAATCCTGTAGCCACTATCGTATTCGCAAGGTGCTCAGGGGGATATCCCTGGAACGGAAAATCACAGAATACTGAAAAAAATCCGTTAAAAACTGTAGGCTGTATCGTGTTCATAAGGCAAAGTGCTGACGGACAGTGACGAAATAATATACCGAGAGAGACAGACAGAGTTTAACAAACCAGGTCATTTTGAGACTAACACATGGTTCAATCCTATTTCAATAATCTGCTTGCGCTTAAGGGTCTTTAGTAGTGGAAGGAAGCTGGAAGACCCGGAGAAAACCCACGAGAGTTGACAGGTAATCCTACTCCGTGTCACGTATATAACCGGACAATCGAAAACCCCGAATAAAATGTGGATGTCTAAAAATTGAGTCATTTTGTTACGAAATAACAGAGTGAGTGGGCTATCTCGATCACTAGAGTTATTTATCTCAAATATGCGTAGTTTTTAATCTAGATATAGCGGCCGATCACGTTAACCACCCTGGTAGATAGAAATGAAATGGGGTTTAACGTTCTACTGTTCAAAATTGCCTCGTTAATGTTGTTGATAAGACGCTATTCTCCACAGATTTTATTATCGACTATAACTGCAACCGTCTGCATTACAGTTTTGGGTCAGTGAGTACATTGCTGGCTCGCTAACCCGGGAAGGGGTTCGATCCAGATGTCGGCCGAGAGAAAGTTTTTCGGGAATTTCCAACGTGGTTTACCCTTGTCAGTGGTGTAGGGCGGGCGGGTCGCCGGGGGGGGGGGGTGAGGTCTGACAAGGACAGCGCCTGGTCGTTCGCATGGGACGAAATACATAAGTCCAGTGTACACGTTGGTGTACACGTGAAAGAACCCTTGACAGTTGAAATTTGATATAAGAGCAGGCCATAGAGCCGCTGTCCGGGCAAATTTTTTCTCATGGCATACTGCATGGGTATGTCTGTCTGTGCTAGCCCAGTCAGTGTAGAATAGTAGGACGTTAAAACCCATTTTATTTCATTTAGAGGTGTTCAAATTGCTTTTTCAATTCATTTTGTTTGTCTGTTTCAATCAATGAAGTGCGGTTTCAATTGATGATATGCAGTTTCCATTGATGATTTGCAGTTTCCATTGATGATGTGCAGTTTCAATCAATTGATGACGTGCTGTTTCAGTTGATGATGTACAGTTTCAATGATTAATATGCAGTTTCATTTGATGATTTGCAGTTTCAACTGATAATGCGCAGTTTCAATTGATGATTTGCAATTTCAGTTGATGATGTGCAGTTTCCAGTGATGATGTGCAGTTTCAATTGATGATGTTCAGTTTCAATTGATGATGTGCATGCAGTTTCAATTGATGATGCGCAGTTTCAATGATGTGTACAATTTCAATTCAAATTTATTCCAAAAAGAAGAATAACAAAAATTCTTACAAACAACAAAATGGTTTATTTCAGAGTAAGGTTTGAATCAGATTAGAATTAATCAGATTATCTTAAAGGGATTAAGATTAGTGAATACATGTATTTAAGATTGGCAAGCATGTTTGAGTATATTAAATCTATGAAACAAAATAATAGAATTATGGAAATGGAAGTCGCACATAAGTTAGAGATATTTCAAAGAATGAATAATATTATGAAAATTTTTACTTTTAATTGTCAAATCCATTATTTCAAAGAATGAATCCTTTGAAAAGAAGCCACATATTATGAAAAATCTTACTTTTAATTATTGTCCAATCCATAAGAAATTCTAATATAAATAAAATATAAACTTTAATAAGCAAAATATTAATCTGATTCAACTACAGATGATATTTCGTTTCGTTTTTATAGTTCAAAATTTCGTATGAATAAAACGAAACGAAATATTGATCTTTATTTTATAATCAGTAGTGGAATACCGCGTTTTATCAGTGAAATAAAAGTGTTATTCCACTGGCTAGCAGTAGTCCATGTTGTTTTTACCTAAAATCATTGTAAAATCATAAAATAAATAGAACATTTGTCGTTTTGTCGTGAATAACATATTTTATTTCATCTCTAAGCAAGAAAACTTTATATTTTCACTCATGCTACGCATTCGTGAAAATATAAGTTTTCTTGCTTCTCGATGAAATAAAATATGTTATTCACTCTAAAACGACAAATGTTCTATTTATTTTAATCGTATTAGCCCGGTCGGAACAGAACAGTAGGACGTTAATCCCCATTTCATTCCATTTTTTTTGATCGCATTGGCAAGGTTTTTTTTACCAAGAACTTTTAAAATCAACGTTTAATTAATATAAAGAGAGATGTTGTCAGTACTGGGCGATAATTAAATTAAACAGCAGAATAATCAATATTTACCCCCCAATGTGACTTAAATCTTTAATAATTATTATTAAACGAGATTTTTCTGTTGCCCTAGTCTCGTTCAGTGAAGTACAAAACATTTCTGTGTCATATTTCTTCAGAAAATGACCTAGACGTGCTAAATGGATTATATTCTTAAAATGATTCAGAAGCGTGGATACTTGTATTGAAAGATTAAACCCTTGCTAAAGGGATTATTTTTCTTACAACTTGTGTGAAAGCACAACCACCTTGAGACAGTGAAACAGATAGAAATGGGGTTTAACGTCCAATCAACACAAACTACGTTATTTCGGGACTAGCATGGTTTAATTTTATTTCAATAACTCTCTTGCGCGTAAGGGTCTTTAGATTTTTTTCTTGCCCTAGTCTTTCAGCGATGTACAGAACATTTCTGTATCATATTTCTTCAGAAAATGACTTGGACATGTTAAAAAGGATTATACTTGTATTGAAAGATTAACCTCTTGGTCTTGAGCAGTGTCCCAGATAACATTTCTTGTCAGAAAGCACAACTGCCTTGAGACAGAGAAAGAAATGGGGTTTAACGTCCACTCAAAACAACCTACGTTATTTCGGTACTAGCATGGTTTAATTTTATTTAAATAATTCTCTTGCTCGTAAGGGTCTTTAGCAGTTCCAGAAAACCGGAAGTGCGACCGTACTCCTGGTCACTTACAAGTAGGGATTCGAAAGCACGCCATTTGACTCAATGACAGACTTTATGATCTAACGTGCACGCGTAACACCCTCCTCCCCCGTAAAAAAAAACTCCATGCGTTGTTCAGTTTTATTAAATCAATATCAATTTTGCTAATGTGTACTGATATTTCCTCATTGCACATATTTAGGCTGATGTCCGTTTGTCCCCTTTCCTTATCTGGAGCACTATAAAAAAAAGTAGAACGCAAAACCCCATTTCATTCATTCATATCTGGAGCACTGATCATGATTTTACTATACAAACACCTGAATTATTTTCTGGCAATAATAATTATATTAATTTAATTTATTTCATTTTGATATTATGACAGAAGTTTTAAATTATATCGGTTACACTGATAGGAAAACATATATCGAAATCGAAACAATGCCACTAGAAACATTAAAATAATAGGATACAATTATAACAATTAAATTCCCTAAAGCAGGATCGGTTAGGTAATAAAATGCTTTTATACTAACAAATGAACATACTGTATCTTAAAATAAATCAAAATTATATTATAAATAAATTATGAAATTTTTTATTATAAAATAAATCAAGCAAACACACTAACAGAAAAGAATTCGTTCTTACCAATTGGTTTCTGTTTGATGTACAATAAGTAAATACGCATAAACAAAACATGTTTTAAAACACTAGGTAAATGAGTTTTCTATTAAACTCCTACCATCAAGTTCGCTATGAATGGAAAAAAAGAATTTTTTATTTAGTTTTTGTTTTATCAATGTAAAGAAATGAATTCCGGGATCATGGATGCGAGGCATAAGACACCCAACACTCGACCGTGATTTTATAACACAAGATAAATGGGTTTTCTATTAAACTCCTACAATCAAGTTCCCTATGAATGGAAAGGAGATTTTTATTTAGGTTTTTGTTTTATTAATGTAAAGAAATGAATTCCGGGATCATGGATGCGAGGCATAAGACACCCGACCGTGATTTAAACAGCCTTGCCCGGAGTTACAGCGTGAATAGAAAATATTATATAAATTATAAGACTGTAACTATTCATCTATGCCTGTTGATTCGCCGTGTTCATAAAACAATGGATATTTCTCCGGTATTCTCGAGGGACGCCGAATAACTAATGTGTTCATAATTTGTGCTTCAGTTAGCACACAGATTGACGACAATGACATATTGAAATATAGAGAAATAAAAGTATCTTTAATGCAAAGAAGTTGATCAATACATTGTTGACTGGTCGGTTGTTTTACTTGGGGACCATTTTGTTTGTCTGGAACAATTGATGGCATTTCTCTGTTTATAAGTAAGACAACTGAATAAATAACTAATTATGTTTTCAATATTCAACAATGGTTTATTCAGCTTGCGTTGATGTCAGCAATGAACAGCTAGTACACAACTTGAAAAAACAAGCACTGAGTCAACTTCTTTCAACGTTCCACATTTTAAGTTTGACGCCGTGTGGGGGTGGGGATTTGGTGCGGATCTAGGTACGGTGTCTGGCGATGGGGATTTAGTGCAGATCCAGGTACGGTGTCGGGGGATGGGGATTTAGTAGGGGTCCAGGTAAGGCGTCGGCGGATGGGGATTAAGTAGGGATTCAGCTACGGTGTGGGGGTGGGGATTTAGTAGGGATCCAGGTACGGTGTGGGGGTGGGGATTTAGTAGGGATCCAGGTACGGTTTGGGGGTGGGGATTTAGTAGGGATCCAGGTACGGTGTGGGGGTGGGGATTTAGTACAGAGCCAGACACGGTGTGGCGTGGGCATTTAGTACGGACCCAGACACGGTGTGGGGAGTGGTCATTTAGTACGGACCCAGACAGGCGAGGGGAGTAGGGATTTGATACGGACCCAGACACGGTGAGGGAGCGAGGATTTACTACGGATCCTTGAATCCGCACCTTACTGCCCCACTTATAATGTATAACGTCCTTTTAAAAACAGATTTTTCTCAGTTTTAAGAATATTAACATACATATTTAGTGAACGACCTTGAATCCGCACCAAATCTGTAACAATCCACACTGAATAGAGAGTCTCATTTCCCTCAACGACGTTCTCGAATTTATATATCAGACGTTTTTTTTTATATATCTGCTGTAATACCAGTGTGTGTCAATTATGTATATTAATACAACATAATAAATAACAAAAAAAAAAAAATTCTTCAGCCAATTTCTGGGGCCTGTTTCACGAAATTTTAACTAAGATAAAATCCAAATTTTAGTAATTTGATTGGATAATATTAGATTGATTTTAGTGCTTAGCCAATCCAAATTGAAGTATCTACTAAAATTTGGATTTTATCTTTAGTTAAGATTTCGAGAAACAGAGCTTTTGTCATTGACCCTAGACATAATTATAGAAAAATATAATTTTAATCTTCGAATACAGATTTATTAATTAGAAATATATAATTAATAATAATAATAATAAGGGGTTTTAATTACTTTATGATATTACAGCAGATATCACAATTCAAATATTTAAATAGACAATCATAAATGGATATAATAGAATAGATTTCTTGTGGACTATTTAACCCACTAGAACCTGTCCTCCATTGGCAATAATCAGCGCAGTCTTATAGGCAAAGAGAGTCATTAGTTCTAAGAGTATTAACCATTTATAGGCAAAGAGAGTTATTAGTTCTAACAGTATAAACCATTTATACTCCAAGATCAGTTCCAGGACAGACGAGAATTTGAGGAGAGACGTGTTTTAAATTGGCAGTAGTTACAAGTCACGTGATATCCACCATTAATCACATGATCGGGTCGGTTCAGTCATAGTTTTTAGATTTAAGAAGCCTCTGTAAGAGGTTTAACAATTCTTCTTTAGAGGATTGCGATTCTCTACTTTCTTCCATGGCCGTACATCTAGAATTGCTGGAGCACGCGTCTACAAATAAAAAAGAAGTTATTCTTAATGTAATCGAAAAAAATAAAACGTGAAGATAAATGAAATGAGATTTAATGTCCCGTCCCGCCTTTCTGCAATGTCTAGCACAGTGGTTCTAAACCCTTTTTTGGCAACGGCACACCTTGGAACACATGAAAAAATTGAGGCACACCTGGCTAAATATATATATGAAAAATATCTGAATTTTGAAAAATAAAAATATGGCAAGTTATAGACGGCATACACCAATAGACCGAGACCAGTCATAGAAAGGGGTTGGATGGCTGTATCATAAAGTCTGTCATTGAGTCAACTGGCGTGGTTTCGATTCCTCGGTTTTACGTGACAAGGAGTAGGATCGTCTGTTCAACCTCGTGGGTTTTCTCCGGGTCCTCCGGTTTCTTCCCACTGCTAAAGACACCCACGCTCAAGCGAATTATTGTTATAAAAATTGAAACATGTGTAAATTCCAAAATGACGTTAAACCATATCTCTCTCTCTCTCTCTCTCTCAACATAGAATGACTTAAACTAAACAAAGAAAAACAAAGATATGAACGTACGAGTAGGCACCAATGGATACTCAATTGGGATCACAGGGCTTTTCGCATTTTCTTAGTGTGCCGTTCAAAACCACGATTTCAATCGTAGCGCGAGCGAATCATGATAATGCATGTATCGCTTTAATGAAGATATTCACCTGTCCGTATACATAACGGAATAAACATTCGTCGGTTTCCCAGGAAACGGAATACCCTAAAAGTTTTGACGTGTTCTATAGGTGAAGATCTTACCTGAATCACAACATAAACCATTGGCTACACAAGTTCCTAGTTGACGTGATCCACACGGTTCACCCCGTACTGTGCACGGCGTCGTACTATCATTTTCCTGTCCACATACTCTAGTTTCTTCGGTACCCATATAACAACCAAATCTTTCACCACAACATATTTTTGGACCAACACACTGACCAGTATTACCAGGCCCACAGCTCATACACTGAAATTAGAAAACAAAATGAAATGAAATGAAATGGAGTTTAACGTCGTACTGTTCTGCTCCGACTGGGTTTATAAAGACGGGTATACGCCATACAGTGTACTATAAGGAATTTACGGTATACACAATAAGACGGGAAGCTCATTGACCGACATTTTAATTTCCTACTGTTCTGCTGTGACTGGGCTAATGAAGACGGGCATACGCCATACAGTGTGCTATAAGGGAAAGTTTGCCCGGCCAGCGGCAATGTATGCTGTATAGTATACACGGGACCTCGTTTTTTCGTCCCATCCGAACGACTAGGCAACTGTCTTTGCCAGGTCCTCCGTCCTACACCACTGACAAGGGGGAAACCATACAGGTAAATCCTGATGAACGAAAAACCGAGGTCCCGTGTACATATTGACGTGCATGTCAAAGATCCCTTGGTAGTTGGAATTCGATATAAGAGTAGGTCGTGCTTTAAACATTTCCTGCTAATGGCCGGGGCTTGGATACATAATGCATATGAAGAGCCCAGGGGAAGAACGATCTAAGTCACTCTTTCGACGAATCCCAGTAAATGGCACCATCTGGTAGCAAATTGTATAAGCTTTCTGTGGAACAATCAATTTCAGTTGAAAACGATCAGAGTCATATCGAACCAAGGCCCTTCTGAAATGGCCTCCCGGACAAATACGTCCATCGTATCCTTTATTTGACCTTAATTTGGCTGAAAAGTGCAAGTCATTTGTTGTACTGGTAATTATGATTCGTATTAAACATCATTTTCAGTTGTAATTAAACCCACTCGTTGTTCTGTTCGCGTCAAGCAGTCTCGTGCAAAAGTCTGTTTTGCGAAAAGACAAAAATGTGACTAAGATCATTCTTCCCTGGACTCTTCATATGTGATCTGTGTAGTGAAAGTGAGACTAAGACTTGAATCTACAGTTATGGTGTGTTTAAATTTTATATACTGCACATACTGAGACTGATATCTGAAAGTTTATCGGTGAAATGAAAACAATTATTGATGAACTATGGCGGTTTTATTGAATTCACTGCCGCTCGTAAAAAAAAGCTTTATGTGTTACAATATCTACCAAGATATTCTTGGCTAAATCTATTTGTTAACGCCAGCTAAATTTTTGTCAAGGTCGTTTAGATGTAAATAAGGTTAGGTGATTGTTGGTGAGATTTGTAGGTTAGGTTTAAGAATTTGGGCGAGAGGTTGAGTCTCCACATAAGCACTGCCCTAGGATGATGGAAATTCAGTTAGTGATATTTCCTGCTTAAGGTCCAGGGTTAGGGTTTGGATTAGCGCTAGCCCTGTTTACATCCCGTGACCTATGACGAAAAGTTGAGCTGGCCTTATCATTTAGCATTAACCCAATAGTATAACCTTTTGTCGGATATACGATTAGTCACTGATGTCGAAGGTCGAACTATTGGAGCTGAAGTTGGGGAAGTTTGTTTTATATGAAGTGTCTAACCCAGTGATTCTCAACCAGTGTGCCGCGAAATTTTGAACGGCACACTAAGACAATTTCTCACTAAAAAGGCCAGGTATTTGACTGATGAAATTCGAAACACGGCGATAAAGTAAGTTCATAGCTGTGTTTTTTTTATTTAGTTTGAGCCATTCTATGTGTATATGACTAGTCGTGTCTACGGTTGTATACCGTTTATGACCCGCCATGTTTTTATTTTGCAAAATTCAAATATTTTTCATATATATTTAGTCAGGTGTGCCCCTATTTTTGTCATGTGTTCCAAGGTGTACCGTTTGCAAAAAAAGGTTGAGAACCACGGAAAGTTTATATTATTATATAATAATCATGTTGGTGTTTTGTCCCCTAAAGATTAGATATTAAAGGTAGCCCCAGATTTCTCATCATATCTTCTTTTAGGCGATGATGACGTTACCAAATAGTAAGTGCAGGGAGACTGCACCACACACAATTACACAAAACAAATCTACGGACAAGACACAATACGCAGAAATCACAAACAAACTGCACCACACACAATTACACAAAACAAATCTACGGACAAGACACAATACGCAGAAATCACAAACAAACGTACATATCAGATTAAGTGAATGGATCCGTGGGCTAGTCGTAAGCGTCCACTGCGCTATACAGCCCCGGGCCTGTATTGATACAGACTTCACTCAAAAAATGACAACTAACAATAAGGAGGAATATAGCCCAGAGAAAACCACTGTGTAATACTAGTACGAGTCATGATCTGCTATATGCCACATGTAATATGAATGTAAGCATATTGAAGGAAAAGGTTACATATAGCCTACAAGTAACCATATGGGTGAAATGTATAAAAAAGCCAGGTAGCCTACAACTAAATGGTCTATGTTATATGTTCGAAAGAACATATTCCCGAAGCAATGGCCCGAAAAATTCCTCTCTGGCCATTGCTGGATTGACTTCTGATACTTGAGCTTTTGCGTGAGTGTGTCTATTCTTCCCGTTCAATCAAATCTATCCAAAAGCACAGCAACATGACAGCCCTTCCTTTAATCTGGGTCTTCCCTAAAACTTTGGAAAGTGATTTAAGGTAAAAACGGCGAGAGTATTGTTCGTCTCCAAACAGTATTGTTTACATTGTATCCGTTTTGATAGCCTCGTTTGTCACGCAATTAGATTTTCTGCAATATCCTGCTATGCATGGTTAATTGGGCATAATAAAATAGTGAGTCATGACATAACATTATGTAAACATATTTGGTTCAATTTGGAGCTCTGTTTAAAGCCGTATGATATTGCTACGCAGTTAGCTATTGGTTGTTAATCGGACTATTGACCAGTCATAATTTGGAACAGAAATTTGCTTCCATTACAGAGGTGTTAACTGTGATTAGGTCTAATCTAGCGAAACACTAGGAGGAGTATGTCTAAAGTATTGAGGTGTATTGACTACAAAGTGGAAGTAGGGCTTGAAAGATAACGTCAGTAGGTTGAAATGTTATCGAGTATATTTAAAAGTAAAGAGTAATAAACATCTTGAGTGAAGAGATTGTGGCGCATCAATTAATTAGCATGTAAAAATAAGCTAATGGGAATCTGTCACACTCTCGACCGATATCAAGAATTCCTTCTTACACTGTGGGTGTTTGATTTGATCATATTTTATTTAACACAAGGTACAATTTTATGGAAACACAATTACTGAGTTTAATACTAAGCGACGTTTCGACGAGGATACTCTTGTCTTTATAAAAAAAATATAAGTATAGATAGAATGTCTGCGACATAAGTGACATTTTTAATTAAGTAGGCTATTTCTGTATAATTTCAGGATTCACAATCTGCTTAAAACACAGATCCTATTTCGTTTCGTTTTTTATAGTTCAAAATTTCGTTTTACTTGTCTTTACTACACCAGGATCTGGATGAGTTGTTATATAACCTGAGTTCTGGTTGATGTGAGGGATTAGCCAATGAAACGTTCTTTCCCAATAGAAACATCAACGCTTATTGGTTAATCAAATGTCTGACGTCATAGGGTCAAAAGCCTCTCAAGTGACCCCTGACGCGACCTTTAACTACAACCGGTCAGATCTTCATGTAATACAGGCCATCGTAAGTATAACCCCCTCCCCCCCAAAAAACCCCAAAAAACGAAACAAAATATAGGTCTGTGTTTTAATCAGATTGCAGGATTCTGGAATTGGGATAAGATACATATTTTTTTAAGTCTCATTGCGTCATTTTAGCGCAATAGGAATCCCTTGTAACCTACAATATTGTGAATATCAGTACAATAGGCGTCTTTAGAAGTGGGAGGAAACTGGGGGACCTGGAGAAAACCCAAAAGGTTGGACAGGCGACCCTACTCCTTGTCACGTACAACTGGGGAATCAAAACCACGCCATGAGTTGACTCAATGACAGACCTTATGATACAATGCGTACGCGCTAACCACTCGACCATCCAACCCCACCGGATGATATAAGTAAAGTTGAGAGAAACGAGTTGTATTGTTCTGGAATCAAACAGTTGACCCAATGACAGATCTTATAATACAACGCGCATGCGCGAACCATTCGGTCATCCAAATCTCTCCGGATTAATTATGTAAGTAAAGTTAAGAGAAACGTTTTATTGCTCTGGAATCAAACAGTTAGACTAGAAAATGACTTCATCCTATGAGCTTTATACTAGACGATTTAGGAAACGGATGTATAATGAAAGGAATGTGAATGTTATTATTCTATTAGACCGAGGGTGGACTGATGACATTGATATCGTGTAATTGTGTGTGCGATCTAATTAAAGTTAACCATATAACTAGTCTGAAAGCGAGTTCGTCACCTGAAACAATCCCACTAACTCTGTTTCCTCGTCAAACACATCATGTGTCAAGTATTAAACAAATACAATTCGTTCAAACATCTATTTAGCTGGATCTTTTCTTGACAATATTCTATTAGTGGTTAATGAAGCTTACACACGCTCGCATAGTAATCACACTTTATTAATGTCGTGTAAGAGAACCGATACCATTCCAATACTGGACGCTATGCTTTATATTCAACAATCAAACAGTAAATGACATTAAATCGGATTTCACGTCCTACGTTTTTGCACCAACTGGGGGGCTACTGAAGACGGCCTAACTTCATCCAAGGACAGCTGTCTAGTCGTTCGAATAGGACGAAAAACAGAGGCCCCGTGTACACATTGGCATGCACGTAAAAGATCCCTTGACAGTTGGAAATCGATATAAGAGTAGGCCGTTGTGCCGCTGTCCGGGAAAATTTTCCCTCATAGCATACTGTATGGCATATTCCCGTCTTCATTAGCCCAGGTTAGGAGCAGAACAGTAGGACGTTAAACTCCATTTCATTTCATTTCCGATCTTAATTCGATAAACTGAACACCGTGTTTCATTTTGATCCATAAGACATTTTGTTAAACCCTATGCAGTTAAACCGTTGTAGAGGTTCGACATCATGATTATTATTGTTTTTATTCGACATAATATTGGCCACC